CATGAACCTCAAGTTTTTCTAAAACGAATTGGTAACCCTAAATCTAACTAAAAGGATTGGGAGGCCTAGTTGGCTTAGGTGAGACCCGACTGGTGCAAACGCGGCGCGTGGACCTAGCCACCGTGGTAGATCCACTTTAAAACTGCACTAGTCACATGAAAAATCAAGCAGGCACCTGTTTGGTTTCAGTTCTCATGACTGGTGTAGTTCCCATTAATCCGCTTACAGCCGCGGCCTATTCCTAGGAAGAACACATTACATCCGTTCAAGCTCCTGCGATTCGATGGAGGCAACGAGGGGCAAAGCATTCTCGGGGTTTCAGTCACTAGGTCTATCCCTTTTCAGTCTTGCGAGCCGAAAAACTCGCAAGCTCGTCGGGTTAGGAAGGAGCAACACCGTGGGAAGTGTTCAAATTCGTGATATAGCGAGAGCATCTAAGGCCGATGTCAAACTTGGCGAATCGAGCGATTCGCTACTACGATTCGCAAAGTCTGACATCGGCCTAAAGCAGTGGGATGGGCTAGTGGAGGAAGTCGGTCTGCCAACAAAAGTGCAGAGCCACTGGAAACGCTGCGTACGCCTCTGTTTGCGTCCAGCAATGGACTAAGTAATTCGCCTACACAACAACTCAACTGATAGCTTCCTTCTTATTTTAAAGGGAATTTCTTTGCTCTACAATTTCACCATTGAAGAAGGGTCATCCTGTTTGATGATGTTTTATGCTTTTTTTCACACGTACATAGTTTCTTTACCCTCAGTCTCCCATTTCTCCCAGGCGCTCATTCATAAGAACTCCTTTAATTCAACGTCCTAATTATCCACAGAGTGCAAAAACCTAGAGATGATTCCTCTTCAGACTAAATGCTGAAATGAACTAAAGATAGCTTTACCAACTTGGCTTAGATAGCTTTACCCAACTTGGGTTACTTGGTTTTTTTTGAGATAGCTATTAGTTAAAAAACATGAACGACGGAATGTGATTGCCTTGATTGGTTCAAAATATAGACTTCTTTGAAACTGTGTTGAGTGTGTACGCTGAGTGTATGGGATGGCCTTGACGACGGAGTTCACGTTAGAAAGCAGCCCACTAGAATAATGGTAGAGGTGGTCAGTGGGCTGGGATGAAGAAAAAACCAAGAAACGGCCAGAACCCGAGAAATGGGACCCCTTCCTTGCCCGTTGATTTCGCATTGATGCGACTCTCATCGGTGCTGCCCTCTTCAACGCTAACGCTCTCTCTGCTAAACGGCTAGAGACCTGCGGCGAGTGGTTAGCCAGTCGGTGGGCGTGCCGCGTCGATAGCGCCGCGGAGGACGGTCCATGCTAGATCGCTGAGGGCGTCCTTTGCTGCGACTTGCGTGTCCGTCCGCCCTTAGGGGGTCCGCCTGGCTTTCCACTTTCCAGGTAAGTGCCTCTTCTTTGACCTTGATCCTACGTGGAATCCTCCTTTAACTTGATCCATTGATCCTTGATTCCATTTCTCTTTGGAGAGAAATTGTTAGTGTTGAGCTATCCATCGAAAGGAGGCTTACTTTTTTTCGAGCGCCTTGCAGCGTTTGATCTCACAGTACGTGCCAATGGCAAGCTTTTCAGCAACTGCGCCAGCTTGCTACGTGCCATTTTCTGTCAGTTGCGTCGTTAGAGCCCTATTCGACGCTATGTGCTTTGTGCCTCTTCATTTCTCATGTAAATCAATGCGCATTGATACTCATTGAAACGTGACTTATGTACAGATGTCTGCTACCATGAATGTTTTTCGGTAGGGATTAATCGGTCAACAAATGCCCTTCGCGTAGCTTTGGATTACAGCATTAGTGATGCGGGAAGCATGCCGCATAAAAAACACAAAATAGGCAAATTCCTGGAGATTTTTCGAAGAAGTTCAGGATTTTGGAGGCCCTCTGCCTGAACGGCCCTCCGTTCACACATGGAACCACTTCTGAAGGTCCTTCTGAGCTTCACATAACGATGCCTGCCGAGGTTCTGTGAGGTTATTGCCCGGATGACGTTTCCAGTCGTACTAATAGTATCTGGTTACGCGACATGACTTATGTAATCACGCGGTATTCCGTAGGCCCAGCATGAGCGTTGCCGCGGTGTTTAGTTGAATTTTGCATGAATTATCGGCCGGTTCAACAAACAAACTGAAATGCTCGATGGTCTCGACGAG